TCAGATGTAACCCCCTTTGTAATCGTTAACATTTTCATAAGTAACTGTACTTTCATTACACATTTTTTCTCAGTAACTGTAACAGATTACAAGTGCATTTATTTTGTAATTAAATTACTTAATTCCGTTACATGTGACTTTTTACTCCCCAACACTAGTAAAGTGGCATCATGTTTTCTTGTGCAGGTGAAGACGCCGACTGGACAAGAATCGAGTAGAACACGACTCTCTCCGACTCGCTCCATCCGCTCCTGGGTCACGCCTCCGGCCACGCCTCCACCCTACACCCCTCTGATTCAGACCACGCCCAGCGCTAGCAGCACTCCGGGATTGGTTCACAGGGGCTTCTGGAATTCCCAGCAGGCCTCTGATTGGTCGACACGTTCTCCCTCACCCTCGCTCCTGAAGGTTCCCCCCCGACTAAGCGGACATCACCTGCAGCAGCGGAGCAGCGCTCACAGCCTGGTGGAAGCCGTGAGTGATGCCGCTTGACCCTGAGCGCCTGTTTACACCTGGTCACTTCATGCGTTTTCTCTGATCGGATCTCTATCTGATTTGCTAAAGCGTTTCCATTTACACTTGGCCACATAAATGTGTCTTCGCAAAACGGATATAAATCAATTCCCATGCTATGTGCAAATTTATAATGAACGGAGTTCACGTCAACGAAAGCAAGAGATATGTGCTGCATTTTATTCATTATCAGCTAATTTCAAGATCAAAGACCGCAATAGGAGAGAGCGCGGCATCACCACTGGAAAGATACTTTAGTCTCACTACTTTTAATGAAGATGATTGTGTGTTGAGCGTCCTCGACTTACTTTCAGTTTCATTCGCGGCAGTTTGCACGTCGGCTTGCTGAAGAGATGCTCAGCTACTCATCCGCAGCGATGCGTGTTGCATTAGCGCTGTCATATCTGACTATAACATGCCATATAGCCTATAAAACGCTCTCGCACATTTATTATTTTAATATTTTGGGAGGAATAAAATTTGCATATGTGGTTTCAACAACCAGATGCATTTACACTTGTCCAGTTTCATCTGGAATGTGGCCCAGACCGCATAATAAATCCGTATTGAGAGCGTTTCGGAGGCCATTTACACCTGGTCTTTTCACGATCGGATAGCTATCTGATCAGAGAAAATGCATGAAGTGACCAGGAGTAAACAAGCCCTGAGAGTCAAGTCAAGTCGCCTTTGTTTCTATAGCGAGTCATACAATACAGATTGTGTCAAAGAAGCTTCACTGAGATTAACAGGAGAATAGTAGAATCAATTCAGATTCAGCTGTAAAGCAGCTCAAAGACAATAGTGTCATTATTTAGCTCAAGTCAGTTCACTGTTGGTTTACATCCATAAGAGTGTGAATTTCATCAACTTTAAAACTTAATCAATTAAAAAAAAAAAAAAAAAATATAT